CATTTCATTGTGATCAGATAAGATACTTGGTGAGATTTCAATATTTTTAAATGTATTGAGATTTGTCTTGTGGCCTAACATATAGTCTAATCAGGAGAATATCCCATGTGCAGTTAAGAAAAATGTGTATTCTGCTGTTGTAGAGTTGAGTGTTGTATACATGTCAGTTAGGTCTAGTTGCTTTATAGTGTTCTTCAAGTCCTCTATTTCATTGTTGATGTTTTTTTTAAATATATTTTTATTGATTTCAGAGAGGAAGGGAGAGGGAGAGAGAGAAAGATAGAAACATCAATGATGAGAGGGAATCATTGATTGGTTGCTTCCTGCATGCCCCCTACTGGGGATCGAGCCTGCAACCAGGGCATGTGCCCTTGGACAGAATCGAACCCGGGACCCTTCAGTCTGCAGGCCGACACTCTATCCACTGAGCCAAACTGGCTAGGGCTCATTCTTGATCTTTGATCTAGTTGTTCTACCATTTCATTTTTTTTTTAATTAGTGAAAATGACTTATTGAAGTCTCCAAGTATTATTGTAGAATTGGAATTGTCTATTTCTTTCTTCAGTTCTGTAAATTTTTTCTTTATGTATTTTGGAAGTCTATTGTTAGATATATATGTTTATAATTGTCAAATATTCTTGATATATTGACCTTTTATCAATAGTTGAAGTCTTATTTGTCTCTGACAATAATTTTGACTTAAAATCTATTTTGCCATTTTATTATAACCATTCAGATTTCTCTTGGCTACTATTTGCGTTAAATATCTTTTTTCAATCTTTCGTTTTCAATATATTTTGTACCTTTGGACCTAAAGTGAGTGAACTGACTCAATAATAAATAGACAAGCTGAAGAGACATGAAACAAGTCATGAGACTGAGTCGGTAATAAACAACCTTCCCCAAAAGAAAAGCCCAGGGCCCAGTGATGCCAATGCTGAATTCTGCTGAATATTTACAGAAGACATGGCACCAACCCTTCTCATCCACCCCAAAGAACACCATGTGAGGCGACACTTTCTAACTTACTCTATGAGGTCGGTCAGCATTATCCTGATGCCAAAGCCAGAGAAAGATAACAAAGGAAAACTACAGACCAATATCCAATACAATTATGCCAAATCCAGCATTATATTAAAAGAATTATACACAATGAGCAAGTGGGATTTATCCCAAGCATGCAAGAATAATTCAACATGTGAGAACCATCAGTGTGATGCACCAGGTCAATAGAATGTAGGGGGAAACCATGTCATCCCAAATGCTACAGAAAAAGCATTTGACAAAAACCATCTCTTTCACAATAAAAAATGCTCAGCAAACTAGGAATAGAAGGAAACTTCCTCAGCATAACAGAGAACATTATGAAAAACCCGCAGCTGACAATATTCAACGATAAAAGACTAACAGCTTTTCCTCTAAGACAAATAAGACAAGGATGCCCACTTTTACCACTTCTACTCAACACTGTACTGGAAGTTCTTAACAGAGCAATTGGGCAAGAAAAGAAAGAAAAGAAAAGAAAAGAAAAGAAAAGAAAAGAAAAGAAAAGAAAGAAAAGAAAAGAAAAGAAAAGAAAAGAAAAGGGGAGGGGAGGGGAGGGGAGGGGAGGGGAGGGGAGGGAGGGGAGGGGAGGGGAGGGGAGGGGAGGGGAGGGGAGGGGGAGGGGAGGGGAGGGGAGGGGAGGGGAGGGAAGGGGAGGGGAGGGGAGGGGGGGGGGAGGGGAGGGAAGAGAAGGGAAGGGAAGAGAAGAGAAGAGAAGAGAAGAGAAGAGAAGAGAAGAGAAGAGAAGAGAAGAGAAGAGAAGAGAAGAGAAGAGAAGAGAAGAGAAGAGAAGAGAAGAGAAGAGAAGAGAAGAAAAGACATCCAAATTAGAAAGAAAGAAAACTTACTACAAAGCTACAGTAATCCAAACAGAGGTACTGGCATAAGGATAGACATATAGATCAATGGAATAAAATTGAGAGTCCAGAAAAAAAACCCCACAAATATATGGCCAATTGATTATTAACAGTAGTGTCAAAACCATTCAACAGAGAAAGAATCGTCTCTTCAACAAATGTTACTGAGACAACTAGATATTTACATGCAAAAGAGTGAAGTTGAACCCTAGCTCACACCATATATAAAAATTAACTCAGTTTCAGCTCAGAGAAGCCTTAGGTGCAAGTTTCTTCATACAAATCTGGGTTTATCTGACATCAGCCACCTCCACCGTGCTGCCGAATTCTAACCCCAACAAGACTGAAGTCAGAAAACTGAGCAGCAGGGGGAAATCGGTGCTATGTCTGTGCTGGCACCCAAGACTGACCTCCGGGCCTGTCTCTAAAAAAGGTTGGTGACGACATCACTAAGGCAACCAATGGGAAGGATCTTAAGGTTACAATGAAACTGCCTGTTCAGGACAGACGGGCCCAGATTGAGGTAGTGCCTCTGCCTCAGCCCTGATCATCACAGCCCTCAAAGAACTGCAAGGAGACAGAAAGAAGCAAGAAAACACGAGGCGCAGTGGAAACGCCCCTTTTGATGAGATCGTCAGCACTGCCCGACGGATGCAGCACCGATCTTTAGCTAGAGAACTCTCTGGAACCACTTAAGGGATCCTGGGGACTGCCCAGTCTGTGGGCTGCAATGTTGACGCCGTCACACTCATGACATCATAGATGACATGAGCAGTGGTGCAGGGAAATGCCCCGCTAGTTAAGAACTACAAAGGGAAATATTTCAATTAAAGATCATTTGACAACCAAAAAGAAAAAATGAACTCAAATAGATTGAAGACCTAAATATAAGAGCTAAAGCTACTATAATTTTAAGAAGAAAACATAGGGGCAAACCTGCATGACCTTAGATTTGGCCATGGTTTCTTAGATATGACGCTAAAAGCACAATCAACAAAACTGGATTTCATCAAGATTTTAAAGTTTGTTATATTGAAGGGCAGTATCCAGAGAGTGAAAAGACAACCCACAGAATGGGAGAAAACGCTTCCAAATTATAATCCTGATAAGAGTCCAGTCTACATAAGACATAAAGAACTCCTACAACTCAACGACAAAAAGACAACACGATTAAAAATGGGCAAAGCACTTTAATAGACATTTCTCCAAAGAAGACATACAAACAGCCAACAGGACGTGGAAGGAAGCCCAATATCACTGGTCATTTGGGAAATGCCAATCAAAACTACAATGAGACGCCACTTCATCCCCACGAGGGTAACTCTAATTAAAAACTAAATAAACAGCAACAGTGTGGGCCAGCCTGTGAAGAAATGCAACGCTTATACATTGCTGTTGGGAATGCAAAATTATGCAGTCACTGTGGAATACAGTCTGTCAGGTCCCGAAAAGTTAAACATAGAGTTACCGTCCGGCCCAGCCATTCCACTACCTGGTGTGTACCCGAGAGAATTGAAAAGAGGTGGTCAAACAAAAACCTACACAAAAATGTTCACAGCAGCATTGTTCATATCAGCCAAAGGTGGAGACAACTCAAATGCCCCCATCAACTAATGAAGGGATAAAAAAATGTGGTATGTCCATACAATGGGATATCATTTATCCATAAAAAGGAGTGAAGCGCTGACACCTGCTACAACCTGACGAACCTTGAAAAACTTTGTGCTCAGTGAAATAAGCAGACACAAAAGGCCATATCTTGTATGATTCGTTTTCCACAAAATGTGCAGAATGGGCAAATCCATAAGAAGGAAAGCAGAGTAGTGGTTGGCAGGGACAGGAAGGGACTGCTGAATAGCTTAGGATTTACTATTAAGTGATGAGAATGTTCTGGAACTAGAGAGGGGTCATGGTTGCACAACACTGTGACTGCACTAAATGCCATTAAACTGTATACTTTAAAATGGTTAAATTGGTAAATGTTATGTGTTATCACACAGGCATGAAAAACGCGCCTTTTAGGTGCTCCTAAGAGCGAGGCCCCACGCTCAGCCGCACTGCACATGACGAGCATATTGTAAATCTTGGCTGATCTTACAGGGGGAACAGCTAGGTTTTAATTTGAGAAATTTTAATTATTAACAAGATGAATAGCTTTGCCTATGGTTATTAAAAATCTGAGTGTTTTGGATTTTGTATTTGATCCTTTTGTATCTTACTCTGCTTTAGTTGTAAGGACTTTTTAATGTTCACACTAAACATGCATATTGCAAATATTTTCCGGAAGCTCAGTATCCTCAGTCTATATCTCATGAAGGTTCCCTTTGGGCTGTGGTTGATGAATTGTCCCCCAGCCTCGTCCATGCCTGCCTCCTCCAGGTTAACCCACCCCACCCACAGGTGCTGCCCGGGACGTGCCTCTCCCAGGAGCTGCCCACGGCTTCAGGCACGTGCTTCAGCACCCACAGGTCCGCCTGTGAATCTGGTCCCCTAACAACCCAGGGGCCAGGCCCGCTGGAAGCTGCCTCTTCTTGGCAAGAGGAGGTCCCTCCCTGTCCTCAGCCTCATCGCCCTTGCAACCCTCACCATGGACGTTCACAGACCACCCCCAGCAAGGGCCTGTCCTCACGTTGCCTTTCCCTCAGAACAGGCCAGGCCTGTTCAACTTCTTTTCCAATCACAGGCCAGGCCTCCAGCCCAGGTGAGGGCACCAAAGGCTGGGCCCACAGAGTGCGTCCCCAGGGCCCAGCTGCCCCAGGTGCCCTCCAGGTAGAAACCGAAGGGTGAGCCAAGGAGAAGCGGTGGCTTCCTTCCAGGCATCCCTGCAGGGGTCAGACTCAGGCCCGGGAAACCAGCCCGTCCAGGACAAACATTGATGATCTGAGCAAGGACATCTCATGACAAGAGGACTGACCATAATGAAGGTGCTCACAGCGCAAACACCAACAAGGAAGGGAGGGCGTGAGCCTGCTGCGGGGACAACACAGGCACCCAGGGAGGGGTATAAAAGCTGGACAGTTCCAGCACCTGACACACTCACTCACCTTCACCCCCTCACACACTCTTCTCCCAGCTCACCTCCAGCCCCACCGCCCCACCATGGCCGCATCCGCCCTGTCCGTCTGCTCCAGCAACCTGAGCTATGGCAGCCGCGCCTGCCTGCCCGGCTCCAGTGACTCTTGCACCGACTCCTCCTGGCAGGTGGACGACTGTCCAGAGAGCTGCTGTGAGCCCTCCTGCTGTGTCCCCAGCTGCTGCCAGCCCTCCTGCTGTGTCCCCAGCTGCTGCCAGCCCTCCTGCTGTGTCCCCAGCTGCTGCCAGCCCACCTGCTGTGTCCCCAGCTGCTGCCAGCCCACCTGCTGTGTCCCCAGCTGCTGCCAGCCCACCTGCTGTGCCCCCAGCTGCTGCCAGCCCACCTGCTGTGTCCCCACCTCCTGCCCCTGCAAGCAGGCCTGCTATGTGCCTGTCTGCTGCAAGCCCGCTTGCTGCACACCTGTCTGCTGCAAGCCCCTGTGCTGTGTGCCCATCTGCTCTGAGACTGGCCCCTGCACAACCTCCTCCTGCTGCCAGCCCACCTCCTGCACCTCATCCTGCTGCAGACCCTCCTCCTGCGTGTCCCTCATCTGCCGCCCCGTGTCCAGGCCTGCCTGCTGTGTGCCCGCCTCCTCCTGCTGTGGCCCCACCTCCTCCTGCCAGCCCAGCTGCTGCCGCCCATCCTCCTGCATGTCCCTGCTCTGCCGCCCCGTGTGTTCCCGCCCGGCCTGCTGTGTCCCCACCTCGGCCCAGAAGTCCTGCTGCTGAGCAGCTCCATCTTCTGCCTCTGGAGCTGCTCTCCTTGCTCCTGAGCACAGTTTTCCTCTCCCGGGAGCCCCCAGAGCCCCTCTGCTGGTGCCAGGCCCTCCCCCACCCCCCCCTCTGCTGGTGCCAGGCCCTCCCCCTCCCCCCCTCTGCTGGTGCCAGGCCCTCCCCCTCCCCCCCTCTGCTGGATTTGAACATGCGCCCCAGGCGATTTTGAGAAGAGAGGACCCATAAACCCCTCACTGGGTGGACTTGGGGCCCCAGGAGCCTCCTCTGCAGGACTGGTGCTTTGCTTTCCATGTGACAAAAGCCAGTTGCTAAATCAATAAAATGTTTGTACCGGGAAATGTGTGTTTGCTGTCTCCTCCCCTGCGCCCCCTGGGCCACTCCAAATCTGGGCTCTGGGTGCTCCATCTGGTAGGAGCCAGACAATGAAGATACTCTCCAATCCAAGTTCAGAGCAGCTGGACGCTCGTCTCCCTACCCGACCCAGCGGCCCACCCTCTCCACAGTGGGCAGCCCTCCAAGGCTGGGCCCAGGAGGCGGGTGTGGGTGCTGGAGGCTTGGACCTTGAGGGATGTGGGCTCCTGCCCATGTCTGTCCACCTGCCCGTCCAGGTGAAGGGGAGTTGGGAGCAGCAGAAACCCTGTTGGCCAAGAGCTGTGTGACAGTGTCCCCTGCAGGAGGACCACCATGGCCTGGGTCAGACACGGCCGGAATCTGTGCTGGAGGCTCCGTGGGTGGGAGGACTAAGGGCGATGCTGCCCAAGAGTCCCCATGATCCGGGTAGACCCTGGGGCCCAGGACAGGGTGGACACGCAGGCCAGGGGAGAGCCTGGAGCAGGACAGATCTGACCAGGAGCCCCCCTGCTGCTAAGCACCTAAGAAGGGAACAGATCACCTGGAGTGGGGCTTCCTCCCTGGCCAGCAGGAAGAGCCCACAGAAATAGAAGCGGCTCAAAGTCCCCACAGCTGGGCCAAGGGGAGCCAGCGGCAACCCGCTCTGGACGCCACCTGCTCCTCCCCTGAGCTTCTCCACCCCCTGACGGTCACACGGCAGCCACCAGCATCACGGAGGAAGAGTGGACATTGGCAACTGTGCAACGAATGTTGGGTCTATCCTGTGGCCAGAACAAGTGCCCATGAACACAGTGGCTACAACAAAGCAAATGTATTGTCTCACAGCTCTGGGGGCCAGAGCCCACCATGGGTCTCTCTGGGCTGAAGTGAAGGCGTGGGCGGGACTGGACCCTTCTGGAGGCTCCGGGAAGAACCTGTCCTTTGTCCCCTTCGGCTCCTAGAGGTCCCCCCACATTCCACATTTGCATGCTCTAAGCCGGCAGCCTAGCGTCTTGCTTCCATCTTCCCGGGGCCTCCTGTTCTGTAGCCCGGTCCCCTCATAAGTCCCTGTAATGACATTGGGGCCCCTGGATCACCCGGGATCATCTCCCATCGCAAAACCCTTCATTGGCTCCCATCTTCAAGTAGCTTTGCCTACAAGCATCATAGTCACAGGCTCTGGGATTAGGACAAGGACATCTCTGGGGACCATGGAAGTTGCCCATTGAGCCCTCTCTGCTGACTGGGGGAAGGAGCCATATTTTACTTTTTGTTTTTAAAATATATTTTCATTGATTTCAGAGAGGAAGGGAGAGAGAGAGATCAAAGTATCAATGATGAGAGAGAATCATTGATCAACTGCCTCCTACATGCCCCACACTGGGGATCGAGCCCGCAACCTGGGCATGTGCCCTTGACTGGAATCGAACCCAAGACCTTTCAGCCTGCAGGCCAACGCTCTAGCCACTGAGCCAAACCGACTAGGGCGGAGCCATATTTTTCAATGGAACGTGCAGTTTTGGCTTTAGCTGAAGGGGAGCAGGGGACCTGTTTACCTAAGTGGGGTCAGGTCAGCAAGCTAGAGATTTGCCTTCAGTCTCACCCAGAGCTGGCTAAGAACTGAATTCATAAGTTCAAGGGACAATGTGGGACAAAGGAAGCCATGTGACTGGACACTAGGAGCACCCCAATCACTCTGAGGTGGCCTTTGAAGGGTCAGTCCCTGCCCTCTCTGCAGAAGGAACTTTCCAGAATCCTCGGAAAACACACCCAGAAGGAGTTTAGGGAAAGACACTGAAGGAGGGACACAGCCACACTCGGTGAGCATCACACTCCGATATTTATTAGGCCTTGGCTGCTGGAGGGTGCGGAGCCTGGGCACTGCGGCACCTGCCGGTGGGATGAACTGGGGGCGAGTCCCTCAGCCTGGCTCGCTGAGATCCAGTGGCTGTGCTACAAAGTGGTCTGTGGGATTCAGGAGGTCGGAAGTGAACGTCTGGACCGACTCAGAGGAGTCCGTGCAACCGGCTGCTCCTGGCCCCATGAGGAGGGATCCTGGGAGGCCACAGGCTCAGTGGCAGGACGGTGTGCAGCAGGGAACCTGTCTACAGATGAGGGTGTAGCAGGATGGCTGGCTGCATCCAGAGGACTGGCAGGAGGGGACATACACACAATGGGCCTGCAGCTCACGGGCACACAGGAGGCTGCCTGGAGGCCCAGGGACATGCAGCTGGTCGCCTGGCAGGGGCTGGGCACACAGCTGGCCAGGCTGCAGGAGGAGGGCTGCTGGGCAACATGGGGACAGGCAGCTGCAGGCCCATTGGCAGGAGGTGGCTGAGCTGCACACTGGCAGGCACAGCAGAGCCTCATGGGGGGCACAGCAGGAGCCCCCGCAGCCCAGGGGTGGGCCGCAGGCAGCAACTCAGCCCAGGGGACTGGTGGGGCAGCTGGTGTGGCACATGGTGGCAGAGGACAGGGCTGGTCTGCAGGCTCCTTCCCGGGGCGAGCGTTACACCAGGCAGCAGTGTCCCTGCAACCAGCCGCATGGCGCCTTCCTCGTGGCTGCCTCGCCGGGTTCTCCTCTTCCCGCTTCCTGTGCCTCTTCCTGGCTGAAGTGACCCCAGGTGTTCAGGAAGCTCGTTCTTGGCTGCAGGTCGCCAGGACCCAGTGGTCCTATGATTTCTGGAACCAGAGCCCAGATTGGATAGCGAAGGGCCATCGTTGTGGGACAGGGGACCCAGCAATGATTGTCAAGGTCCTCCCCAGTTTTACATACCCTGTCCTCCGTCCACGTAAGCACAGTCACACTCATTGCACTGGGGGTCCCCCGTTTACATGTGGAAAATCAATGATTCAGAAGGTCTTCCCAACGCTGCTGGGCTCTCCAGGGCGAGCGCAAGGACCACGTCACCGCAATGACATAGTAACGGATGTAGCTTGGTGCCAGGTCTGTGCTAAGTGTTTTACACGCACTGTCTCCTAATTGATTACGTATCCATCCCGCACTCTTCCGGGATGGGTGACGCGTGCCCGCCCGGTCACCGCAGACAGAGAAGCAGGCCTGCGAAATGGCTGTTTCACTCTGGAGTCCATAGTGCCAAGTAACGCTGGGGCTTTGGGGTCCTGGGATCTTCCATCTATCAGTTAGGGTTTTCCACGTCAAACTTGGGGATTTTGTCCATATTTCTTCAAGACATTCCTATGTCTCCATGTCATTCTCCTCTTGGGTTAAAAGTATCTCGACGTTAGGTTTTTTTTATGTTCTCTCAGAGGCCCTTTTCTTTTCTTTTTCCTCTTCGTCAGATTGGATACTTTCTACTGAGCGTCTTCGAGTTCACCAACTCTTTCTTCTTCATCAGCAGGGGTGGCATGACCTGAATCGCTCAACCTGCGCCGGTGCCCTAGCACCTCAGACTATGGGGTTCCCCATCGCTCCCCGAGCATGCCCATTTCTGCAGCAGGGCCCTCACATCCCCGGGTGCCTTTGCCTGGGACACTGCCCATCACATCACCCAGTGCTGCTCAGCATCGCCCCCTCACAGAGGCCCAGCCGCCCGCCAGCACCCTCACTCTCTGCTGCCCTGTTTTCCTCCCTGGAGTTACTTTGTGCATTAATTTCTCCATCCGCGCATTCACTCGTTGCCCTGGAAGGCTCCTGAGGCCAGGATGGCCCCACTGCCTGCACACGGTGTGGACTGTTTGTTGCATAAACAAGTCAATTTCTGCATAGACTTTGGGCAAACCTTCTGCAAAGGGCAGATAGTGAGCATTTCAGGCTTTGCTGCCACAAGGTCTCTCCCATAACTGCTCAGCAGCTTGCACCTAAGCAGCCCTAGACAGACGCAGGGACAGGGACGTGGCTGCGTCCAACAAAGCTTTTATTCACACACGGCAGTAGCCAGATCCTTCTGCAGACTTCGGTTTTCAGAGTCCTGCTCTAATGCCTCCTGTGTGGAATACACACTCAGCCTACATGACTGCCTCACGTCTCCACTAAGGGCATGAGACACAAATGGCTAAAAGGACACGGTTCTCGGAGCGAGCCAGGGTGCTCTGTGCAAAATAATGGCCTGGAGGAACCCCAGGAGCCCACGGAGTCAAACCAGAACACCCTGCTTACAGAGGGGACCCGGCCTCGGAGCCAAGCTTGTTTATGTGGAGCCTCACACAGGAGAGCGCATTCCAGGAAAGAAGGTGCTGGAAACACGAGGAAGCAGCCGTGAGGAAGCAGGAGAAAGTCAACAGTCGTGCTTCCGTGTTGCCAGGACGCCCACAGCCTGGGTATAAAGGCTGCCAGAGAAGGAACCTGCAGACATCTCCGCCCTCACTCCCACCCCAGCCAGCCCACAACAACATGTGCCACACCAGCTGCCACACAGGCGGCCAGGCTGCCTGCTGCTCGCCCAGCCCTTGCCAGTCCTCCATCTGCCTGCCCATGAGCTGCAGGCCCACCATGTGCACGACCCCTTCCTGCCAGTCCTCCGTGTGCCTGCCCGTGAGCTGCAGGCCTACTGTGTGCACGGCCCCTTCCTGCCAGTCCCCCGTGTGCCTGCCTGTGAGCTGCAGGCCAGCTGTGTGTGTACCCGTGAGCTGCCAGGCGCCCTGCTGGCCTGTGAGCTGCAAACCCATGGTGTTCATGGCTCCCTCCTGCCAGTCCCCCGTGTGCCTGCCCGTGAGCTGCAGGCCCGCCGTGTGTGTTTCCTCCTCCTGCCAGTCCTCTGGGTGCATCCAGCCCTCCTGCCCCACCCTGGTCTGCAGACCCATCTCCTGTGGCATCCCTTCCTGCTGCTGACCACAAGCCTCCTCCCCAGCTGCTCCCAGTGCAGACGGGCCACACCTGCACTCTCCCACAACCAGTCCTCAGCAGGCCTCCAGGTTCTGCATGAGGCAGATGAAAAGCACTGCCCTCTGAACTCCAGAATTGCTACAACAGGGGTGACAAGAACCAAGATGGTGGCATTGGTAAATGCCTGTACTCACCACCTCCCACAACCACATCAAAATTACAACTAAAATACAGAACAACCATCATTCAGAACCACCTGGAAGCTGGCTGAATGGAAGTCCTACAACTAGAGAAGTAAAGAAGAAAGCATAATGAGACTAGTTGGAGGGGAGCCCAGGCTGAGCAGGCTGGTACAACACCCACGTGTGCCAGTTTTTCAATCGGGAGGGAGGTTGTTTTTGTGGAAGCTGCCGGAGAAGGGAAAGGATCCCAGCCCCACATCAGACTCCCATCCCAGGGTCCAGAGCTGGGAAGAAAAGTCCCCATAACTACAGGCTGTAATATCCAGCAGGAATTGTGGCTGAGAGATATGGAGGCTGCTGGAGACCCAGCTGTTCCTATTAAAGGGCTGGCGCACAAACTTACTTGGACTCGATACCACTGAGCTCCAGCACCAGGTGGCTCTGGGGGACCCAGACACATACATGAAGGAACTGGACTGTCTGGCATCCGGGCAGGAATCCAGGGGTGGCTTTCTTCCAGACAGGGGTGCTCACAAGGCTCATTGTTCCCACACCGGGGTCTCCTCTGTCGCAGGGCTGACTGGCAGCCATATCAGCATGGCCCACACTCTTTGTTCTGCCCAATCCAATTTGAAGCCCCACCCAAGTGGTATGCAGCAGCTTTCCAAATGAATGGCTGGTCCTGGCTCAGGCTCTGCTAAAATCTCTTAAACAAGCTGCAGCTGGTGGCAGCCCCAAACCTATGAATAAAAGGTCCAAGACCTGGCACTAGCACCAGCCTGCCTTGCTTCACAGCTGGGCCTTGAACCTGCATGGCAGCTCTCCCACTGTAGTCACAGCAGGTCCTCCCAGCCAATTGGCCTGGAGGTCAACTCCTCCCAGAGACGCCAACAGCAATCAAGGCTCAGCAACAAAACTGCACACAGCCCACACAGGGGTGCATCTAGAGTGCCCAGCTGTGGTGACTGAAGAGGCTGAGCCACTGGGTCCTACAGGACACCTACTACACAAGGCCACTCTGCCAATTTCAGGAGACATAGCAGCTCTACCCAATACATAGAAACAAAGACAGGGAAGCAGCCAAAATGAGGAGACAAAGAAACCTCACAACTGAAAGAAATGGAAGCAAGCAAACTATTAGAGACAAAGTTCAAAACATGGTTATAAGGTTACTCAAGGATCTTCATGAGACTTTCAAGGATCTTAGTGAGAATGTCAAAGACATGAAAGAAGACCAGTCAGAAATTAAGCACACACTAACTAAATCAAAGAACAATTTACAGGGATTCAACAGTAGAGTAGAGGATTCTAAGATTCAAATCAATGATTTGGAATATGAGGAAGCAAAAAATACCCAATCAGAAGAGAAAAAATATAAAAAAATATCAAGTATAAGAAGCATCTGGGACAACCTCAAGTGTACCAACAGCAGCATTATGGGGTGCCAAAAGGAGAAGAGAGAGCGAGCAAGATATTAAAAACCTATTTGAAGAAATAAAGACAGAAAACTTCCCCTACCTGGTGAAAGAAATAGGCTTACAAGTCCAGGAAGCACAGAGAGTCCCAAATAAGAGGAACCCAGAGAGGCCCAAACCAAGATACACCATAATTAAAATGCCAAGGGTTAAAGACAAAGAGAGAATCTTAAAATCAGCAAGAGAAAAGCAGTTAATTATCTACAAGGGAGCACCCATACAACTGTCAGCTGATTTCTCAACAGAAACTATGCAGGCTAGAAGGGAGTGGCAAGAAATATTCAAAGTGATGAATAATAAGGACCTACAACCAAGATTACTCTACCCAGCAAAGCTCTCACTTAGAATTGAAGGTCAGATAAAGAGCTTCACAGACAAGAAAAAGCTAAAGGAGTTCATCACCACCAAACCAGTATTATATGACATGTTGGAGGGTATTATTTAAGAAGAGGAAGAGGAAGAAGAAGGGGAAGAGGAAGAACAGAAAAAATATGAACAATAAAATGGCAACAGATACATATATATCAATAATCAAATCTAAAAATCAAAATAAATGAACAAGAAATCTAATGAACAATATTAACTAAATGGGTGAATAGAATGGAATCAGAGGCATGGAAACATGGAACAGACTGATGATACTCAGAGGGAAGGGCGGAGGGTGGGGCCGGAAGAGATGAACTAAACATCTTACCTATGGAGCTCGCACCCGACCCACCTCCAGCTGGCGGGCTCCCTCAGCTCGCGGGCTCACTCCCGTGGTATCATTAAGTACTCCCAGGGTGTGATTAAGTAATTAAGCTCAGGAGGCTCTGGGAGCCACCAGGTGTCTGCCCTGAGGTTTTCACAGAACCAGCTGGGCCAGAGCCTTCACTCTTGTCCAGGGATGATGCTGGCAGCCTGGGCTCCTCTCAAGCCCCCCACAGCCAGGCCCCCTTCCCCCTGCCGCCAGGCTGCTGTGGCTGCCATGACAGGGGCACAGTGCCTGCCCTGCCTCGCCTGAGCTCAATCCCTGATGGCCGTGATACCATTGCCCCATTTTTTTCTTTTTTTTTAAATTAAATCTTTATTGTTCAGATTAAAAAAAAAAAAATCTTACCTATGGACACAGGCAGTAGGGTGGTGAAGGCCTGGGGTGGGGCAGGAACTGGGTAAAGGGGAGCAATGGGAGGGGGCAAGGGGGGCATCTGTAATACTCTCAACAATAAAAATAAATAAATAAATAAATAAATAGAATTGCTACAACAGGGAGGGCAGGAAACTCTCACACAAACCCTGCCATGTACAGACTGGAGCCTGGCCGTCCCAGGGAGGAGCAGCAGGAAGCCTTGCTCTCCAAGTCCCAGGTGGACTTATCTATAATAATAAAAGCATAATATGCTAATTAGACCAGATGTTCTTTCGGACGATCTTCCAGATGAAGCCAGGGCTGCAAGGGAAGCCTGGGTCCTGGGTGCCAGAGGGAAGCTGGTGCCGGCAGCCAGGGGAAGAAAGGCCTACTCTTGCATGAATTTCGTGCAGCGGGCCTCTAGTCCTATATAATAAAAGCCTAATATGCGAATTGTCCCCTTGACCAAGACATATGCTATGACATATGCTGACCACTGGGGGCTGGGGGCATGGAACATGGCGGGCATCGGTGATGCAGCACTGGCAGCAGGCGACAATGGAGGCACTGCTGGCCCTGATGAGAGTGGGACCATGGCGGGATGGTGGAGTAGGTGAGCGGGTGGCGCCAGGCCAAGGCAGATGCGAGCAGGGCCCAATCGCCCCGCAGTGGCGGCGGTGACTCCCAGGCGCTGAGGGAGCCGGGGGCGGGGGGGGGGGCGTACGGGGGGTTGGGGGCCCAAGTGCTTCCCAGGGCCCAGAGATCAGCTGGGACCTGTCCTTCCACACCAGATGCTCACGCTTCGGTAGCTGGCCAGGCCTAGGGACCATACCCATGCATGAATTTCATGCACCGGGCCTCTGGTTTAGAAAATAAAACCCCACCCTGGCACTGGACACTCCAGCTCAGAGACTGCCCTCTACACATGGGCTTTCTTTATTGGACTGGCTTCATGGGGCACCCAAAACAGAAACAGGGACGTGACATCAGCAATAACAGCAAACAGTGGGCATGTTGCCAAGACACAAGGCCCGGGTAATAAAGGCCACCCTGGGGGAGGAGCCTCCAGACCAGCCCCCTCCCCCGCCTCCCCCCCCCCCCCCCACCACCACTGTGTGCCACGCTCGCTGCTCCCAGGTCTAACCATCTGCCGTCCCTGTCCCTGCCTGCTGCTCTCTCATGGGCTGCGGGAGCTCCTGCTGCTTTCCCCTCCCTTGTCTGCTGTGCTGGCCCACAGATGGGTCGGCTGCCTCCTGCCAGCCTGCCTGCAGCCCGGACTGCTGCCAGCCCACCATGTGCGAGACCTCCTCTGGGATCACCACGGCCTGCCTACCCGTCTTCTGCTGCACCCCTGTTTGCTGCTGATGCTGTGGCCGGCACACCAGCCTCTCCCTGGTCAGACAGCCGAGCTGTGCCCTGCAGGGGAACACCCTTTCCAGGCACCATCACTGGTCTCTGATTAATGACCACGGTCTTTGCATGGCTCCTACTGGACGACTGAGCCAGGAACCACCCGATGGCTGGTTAAGACACTGACTAATCTGGCATTCTCTCCTTGGAAATCGCCGTTAGCACCCTCCCCTGGGGCGAGAAGGGGTAGTGCATCCTCCAGAAAGAGGGTCTGGGATGAAGGGCTGGGCTGGCCCATCCTCCTGAGGATGGTGAGTGTAGCTAGAGCCTGGTGCCCACCTCTGTCCTTCCTGCAGGCGGCTGGCATGCCTCTGCCCTGGGCCACACCTGTGAAAGAGCACTCGGGGGCAGGGCCGCCACCGGGAGACTGACACTGAGACAGCACAGGGTGTGGTGACAGCCCAGCCATGACCCTCTCCACTCCCCAGCAGCTCACTTCTCCCATGGACTGGCTCTCGGCAGAGAAGTGGTGCATTCTCCAAACACAGCACCGATGGGCTCCTCGTCCAGCTCCCTGAGCAGCATGCTGGTATGCTGGCCTCTGCCATCAGCTGGCTGGGGATGCCATGGTTTCCGAAACGATAAAGTGCAGGACACCAGGCCCTCCTGTCTGACCACGTTTCCCACGCACCTCTGCACCGGCCCAGGGCGGACAGCCGTGAGCTGGGACGGCAGAGCCCAGCCCAGTCCAGTGGGGGGCGAGGTGGCTCTCAGTGACCACACAGGTCAGGGTGAACGTTCAGCTGAAGCAGAACAGAGGAGCCCGCCCTCCTGCATGGCCTGTCATCCTGGCCTTCTCTCAGCCTGTAGTCTGGCAGTGGTGTCTCGCACACTGTTGGACTCACAGTCTTCTCCTTCGCCTTTCCCTCATGGAGGCTGGCATCTGCCTCGCCAGGGGCTCAGTGCTGTGCTGTCAGGTGGAGCTGGGTGTGAATTGCAGCTCTGCCATCTACATAGCCACCTGGGCACAGTCTGCCTCTCTGTGACCTCAGTGTCCCCACCTGACACAGCTAAGAGTGTGTCCGGAACAAGGACACGTTACCCGTGCTTGGCTCAGGAGCTTGCCATGCTCAGTCGGACAGCATTTATAGATCCTGGCACGCGTTTTCTAGAGCCATGCACACCTTCAGTCTGAGCTTTTCAGAGTTAACATACATCATGCAAGAACCTCACGTGTGAGCCCACAACCCCAAACACAAAACACATGAGAGCATGTACGCACACAGGCCAAGGGTCAAGAACAACAGACGTTCCAAGGACTCCTTGAGGTGGGAATCTTGACCACAGAATTGTAAATCGGGTGCTTATGAATAAAAAATAGAACGGGAAACATAAGAAAGGGACAAGATATCCTCTAGAACAGCCGTGGGCAAACTACGGCCCACTGGCCGGATCTGGCCCGTTTGAAATGAATAAAACTATTGAAAAAAAAGACCGTACCCTTTTATGTAATGATGTTTACTTTGAATTTATATTAGTTCACACAAACACTCCATCCATGCTTTTGTTCCGGCCCTCCGGTCCAGTTTAAGAACCCATTGTGGCCCTCGAGTCAAAAAGTTTGCCCACCCCTGCTCTAGAACAACATTCTCAACCTGTAGGTTGCGACCCCTTTGGCGGTCGAACGACCCTTTCACAGAGGTCGCCTAAGACCATCCTGCATATCAGGTATTTACATTACGATTCATAACAGTAGCAACATTACAGTTATGAAGTAGCAACGAAAATCATTTTATGGTTGGGTCACAACATGAGGAACTGTATTTAAAGGGCCAGAAGGTTGAGAACCACTGCTCTAGAAAGATATATTGGAGAGAATCCAATACAACTTCTAAAGGTAAAATATGTAAAGTCATTGAAATAAAGCCCACTGCCTGGGTGAGATGGAAGAATAGACAGGCTGCATGGAGTTTGCATGAATTAGAATGCTGACCTGGAAAATTATACAAAAACAAGGTATTTTTTAAAAATTAAAAAGTGGCTAAGAGACTTGGGAGATAGAAAAGGTTCACTATTCAATTAACTGACATTCCAGAGGAACAGGCCAGGGAGACCCGGGAAAAGACAGCATTCGAGAATGTAGATTGTTTCCAGGGAATGAGAAAAACGCTTACCTCTGAGTCACAAAGCACAACACACATGAGAATAAAGAGAAATGCTGAGGTCCATGCAGCAGGATGAGAGGCAGTGGAAACCAGAACGTTCACGGGAGAGGACGTGTTGAGAGGCACCAGAGAAAGGAACCAGAATTACCCTATGACCCAGAAATTCCTCTCCCACGTTAATACACACAAGAACTGAAAAAGGGGACTCAGCTCTTCCTGCAACCTTACTCTCAGTAGCCAAGAAGTGCAAGCAACCCAGTGTCCATCGCGGAGGCATGGATAAACACGGCGGGGATGTCCACACAGAGGAATATAATTCAACCATGGAAATACAAGGACGTCTGATTCATGCTACAACACACATGGACCTTGAGGACATTATGCTAAGGCCACACTCCAGGGCCCTTACCCCAGCTTGGCTCAGAATCCCTTAGGGTGCCAGAGCCCCCACATCTGAGACCCCTTTCATCTCCAAGTCCCTGGCCCCCAAGGCGTGCCAGCTCATTGGTTTATAAGAACCAGATGTGCAACCGTCAGGACGTCTGCAAGCCAGTTGTTAAACCACTATTGGCCTAAAGTCAGCCACGGCGGGAATATTCATGCCACCGTCACTGGCCACCCTGCCAGTCGGGCTTTTCACTTCAGAGGGTCCAGTCCACTCAGTCAGCCCTCGCTTCTCCCACTGCCTGTGGGCATCGGGCTCCCTCTGACTCTGGGCACCACCAAGCAGCCCCCCTGACTCTCAGCCCCGTCCTAGCCGTGGGCCGCAGCGTTCTCAAAACAGAAGGCTGTAGAATGTCTTTGTTCTTTTTATTTTATTTTATTTTTCGATTACAGTTGACAAAAATGTCTCTGTTCTCAACTTTACAAACCACTTGCCTCCCGAAAGGAAACCTCCAGCCTCCTAGACACCCCTGCTGGGTGGTGGCTTCCCCTCACCGTCATATTGTCCACATTCCTCCCTGCAGGTAAATTAACGCTCATTTCCTCAAATTCCATCGGAGAGGCTCCTTTCTCAGAGCCAGCCCCTGCTCTCCAGGCACCCGCGGTACATTTCCACATAAACCTCACACCGCAGTTCTAATCCACCTTCATCCGCCCCCCACCCCTCCCACAGAATCCAGATTTCTTGTGGCTTTCCCTGTCTCTCTGTTCTCTGGGGAGCGGAGTTTATAGTTAAGGACACAGGCCGCTGGGTTCCGACCCAGGCTCTTCTGCTTGCTAGTGTGGCTTTCGTGCAAGTTCTTAGCTGTGCCTCAGTTTCCCCTGTAAAGTGGAAATAACAACAGCTCCTACCTCACAAGGCTGTTGTGAGGGTTGTGGAACTAATATTTATGAAGTTGCTCAGAATAGATGCTGGCATAGCCAGAGCTATTATTGAAGTGTTTGCTAATACAATAAAAGTCAACACAGCTCCCAAACCATTCATTGCTGTGGATGCAGGAGAGAATTACACCCCTAAATAAACAGGATATAAAAAAAGAACAAAACATGTTTATGATTCAACTGAGCGTTGAGAAATAGGAGAAATAATAGTAAGAAGCCCCAGAAAGCTGCTCAGAGGGGGGCTGTGGGGAACACCTGGCCCTCCTGTGTCCATGCCCAGGTCGGCCCCAGTGGTGAGGCCTCCCCTGCATCCCAGCTCTGTGGGCCCCTGGCCTCCAACCTCTCAGGGGTTTAATGAGCTAAGCAGTCATGGGTCTATGACAAGCGTCCTCAGGGACCTGCTCCAACAACAAGGAAGCAGGCTCTTCTGTGCCCTCGTGACGGGACAACACACACCGCTGAGCCATATAAAAGCCCGACTACCCTGAGCAGCTCACACAACCTCACAACCACTCCCTCACACTCACACACTCACACCCTCCTCCAGACTCCGCCCCACCATGGCCGCATCCACCCTCTCCATCTGCTCCAGCGACCTGAGCTACGACAGCCGCGTCTGCCTGCCCCGTTCCAGTGACTCTTGCACCGACTCCTCCTGGCAGGTGGACGACTGTCCAGAGAGCTGCTGTGAGCCCTCCTGCTGCGCCCCCAGCTGCTGTCAGCCCACCTGCTGTGTCCCCAGCTGCTGCCAGCCTACCTGCTGTGTCCCCAGCTGCTGCCAGCCCACCTGCTGTGTCCCCAGCTGCTGCCAGCCCACCAGCTGTGTCCCCAGCTGCTGTGCCCTGGTCCCCACCCAGACCCTCATCTGCACCCCAGTGAGCTGCATGTCTAGCCCCTGCTGCCAGGTGACCTGTGGGGCCAGCCCCTGCCAATCAGCCTGTACCAGCTCCTGCACACCCTCATGCTGCCAGCAGTCTAGCTGCCAGCCCTCCTGCTGCACCTCTTCCCCCTGCCAGCCGGCCTGCTGTGTGCCTGCCTGCTGCACACCCATGTGCTGCAAGCCCCTGTGCTGTGTGCCCGTCTGCTCTGGGGCCACCCCCTGCCCAGCCTCCTCGTGCTGCCAGCCCACCCCCTGCCTCTCATCCTGCTGCAGACCCTCCTCTTGCATGTCTGTCATCTGCCGCCCCGTGTGCAGGCCTGCCTGCTGCGTGCCCACCTCCTCCTGCTGTGGCCCCACCTCCTCCTGCCAGCCCAGCTGCTGCCGCCCGTCCTCCTGCATGTCCCTGCTCTGCCGCCCCGTGTGCTCCCGCCCGGCCTGCTGTGTCCCCACCTCGGCCCAGAAGTCCTGCTGCTGAGCCGGCATGACTCCCTCCCCTGACCCCCAGGGCCATCCCGGCACTATGGGGAACTTAGGAACTCCTGAGGTGCATGGACAGCCCTTCTTCCTCTCAGCCCAGGAGGATGGCCCAGGCCCACTGCCACACTCCGCCTGGGGCCCCAGGGCTCAGGATGGGGTCTCTGTCCACAGTGCAAGCCTCAGTGGCCTCACCGCCTCAGAAGCTGCTTGGAAAACCTAATAAACTCACCTGCATTTAACCTTGATGGCACTTGGCTCTCTTTTGGCCATTTCTGTTCGAATTGCTGGCCAGTCCCCACAGAGGCCTGGCTCCTGCCCTCACTGCCCTGCCAGACCCCAGCTGTAGGCACCCTACTCTGGCCCTGCCTGTGCTGGCCTGGCCCCTGGTTCCCATCCCGCCCCTGGTTCTCATCTCTGCGCCGGCAGAGGTGAGCGGCCCTGCGGGCTCCCACTGCTGGCCAGGCCAGGAATGGTGGCCTCGGTGTGGGCAGCCCCCTTCCCAGGAGCCCACCTGGCGGTCAGTCCTCAGGCACTTGGCAGTGGCCAGTCCTGACACAGTCATCACACTGCCCTGGGCATCTCCCTCAGAAGCCCCCTTAGGGGGAGGCTCCCTGCAGAAGGGCCTGGCAAGACATGGGGTTCAGTGCCTCCCCCACGGAGAAGCAGCAGCCACTCTGCCAAGCCTGGAGGATTGGGGTTAGGCAAGACTGTGACCTGCCTCCCAAGCCCTCCAGCCCCACCTTCCTCCTCTCGCTGCTAAACCCGCCCCTCTCTGGAGCATTCTGCTGGGATCACACAGATCCCGAAGTCTCCTCCCACATAGCAATGATAAACAAAGCCAGCTGTCCTCCCTCCCGCTTGGTGCTGCCTGCACCCCTGCAGAGGGCTGCCCCATTTCTCCCCTACTCACCCCTGCACCACACACCCTTCCCTTCCCCTCGCACACCTCGCCGCTGGCCCTGCCAACAACTGCCGAGACCAGCCTCACTCTCGTCCCTTCTCCTGGGGCCCTGTCCCTGCAGAGCTTGGCCCTCAGCCCCAGGAGGTGTCCCTCCTGCCCCTTCACTCTCTGCCGGTCCTGTGCCCATCACCCGTCCACTTCCCTAGGGTATGGGGACTTGGCTCTTTCTCCTGACGCACCCCCAGGGCCTCTCCCAGACTCAGGGCACTTACACCTTCAGACAGGAACTTCCTCCACACTCACCTCTCCCAGTCCACCTACCCCTGCCTCAGAGGGGGACCCCTGCCCAGCCCTCTGGACTCTGCCCCCACTCCCCGCCCTCCAGTCCTGCCACTGAGCCCGAGGTGCTTCCCATTGGTCTTTGTTCCCCTGCTTGCTAGACAACTCTGGGCAGCCCAGACAGGCCGGGTCCCAGCTCTCAGCGCCCCAAGGCTGCCGCTGCCAGGCTCTGGGGTGAGACCTCCCCAGCAGAGCCGGTGTTTGGGGGCTCCCAGGGGCACGTGCACATTCTTCTCTAGAATGCATTTTGGGAAGAAAATGAGCCTTTGTCCAGTAGGAGATGCCGATCCGGGAGAAGGATGATGGCAAATCTGAAAGGTTTGGGAGAAACTGCCATCCAGGGTCCCCCATCATCACAGCACAGCATGAGCGAAGGGAGCGCCGGCAGGGAGGAGTGGCCCTGCGGGCTCCCACTGCGCCTGGCTGGGCAGAGCCATCTGTCTGTCCTGTGGTCCTGCCCTCACCGGAAGTTCCGAGCAGGAACAGCTAGGATGGAGGGGAGTCTGAGCAAGAGAAGCGGAGAGAACAGACCGCCTGGGGTGTTCCTGCCACCCAAAGCCACCTACCTTGCAAGCAGCAGCCTGGGAGCTTATTTCAGCAGGCGGCTGCCTGGGAAAGACGTGTCTGGAAGGATGGACAAGGCCTCCTGCTCCATCAGAATGCTCTAGACGCCCAGGAAGTCAGTGCTTCGAATCTTACTGCAGGGTGGGTAGTGTGAACTCACCACTGGGCCTGAAGCCTCAGCCCTCTGCTGTGCCTGTTCTGGTCAAACCCACCTGCTGGCCCAGCAGCAGAATGCATCCCAGTCCTTCTAATGGCAATCGGAGTTGCCCCGCTAAGCGCGATGCTGCCGTGTGGCCGATGAAAGCACAGGAAGGCCAGGGGCCTTGTGAAGCACCCAGTCAGCACCAAGCACTGAACGTGTCTAAACCCCCACGGCCCTCGCCGGTTTGGCTCGGTGGATAGAGCATCGGCCTGTGGACTGAATAGTCCCGGGTTCCATTCCGGTCAAGGGCACACACCTCGGTGGCAGGTTCAATCACCAGCCCTGGTCAGGGTGCGTGCAGGAGGCAACCAATCAATGTGTCTCTCTCACATCAATGCTTCTCTCTATCTTTCCCCCTCTCTTCCACTCTCTCTAAAAAACAAAAATCAATGGATAAATATCCTAGGGTGAAGATTAACATACATACATAAATCAATCAATCAATCACACAATGGCCTGGGTACACTGGGGCCCCATCTTGTTGAAGAGGAAGTGGGGGCCCACAGTGACCTGCCAGGGTCAGACACACCAAATCAGACAGTGAGAGTGAGGGGTGGGTGGAGCAGGAGAGAGACCACGTGGGGCAGGTGAGACATGGAGTGTTTGCAAAGAGTGCTGCCCTTGGCCAAGAACGTCCCCAAAGACAGCCTGGTCCTAACTCCACACCTGTGGGTGTCACCTGGTGAGGAAGGACTCTGCAGGCTGACCAGAGGCTGCTGATTAAGTTAAGAATCTCGAGATGGGAGACAGTCCTGGGTCAGCCAGGTTGGCCCCTGGGGCCTCACAGTGTGCTTCACAGGGAGAGAGGCTGCACTTCCTTCTCACACTGACAAGGAGGCGGACACAGAACCAGAGGCAGAGCTTGGAGCGCCGGCATCACGGCCAGATATGCCCGGAGCCTCAGCAGCTGGAAGCGGCAGGAAAGACACCCCTGGAGCCTCCTGGGGGGCGGGGGGGCTGCGACACCTGGGGTCTCAGCTCAGGAAACGGCACGGGTGGTCTCCAGAGTCTGAGAGGACACATGTCGGTCAGTTTAAACCATTAGGTCTATGGTCAATTGTTACAGCCCCAGGACACAAAATCGAATGCACAGTCAGCCTCGCTGAGCGTTGTGGGGAGACTCTCCAGTTTTAAGTGAAATGACAAATAACAACGTCAACTTAACCACAGGCACCGAGACAAACAAGAGTTAAGTTCCCACGGCATCGCATCAACGTCATAATGAGAAATATCATTGCTGGAGGACCTGCTGCATATGACAAATTTTGCATGATACATATAGCTTTCATACTTTCTTTTTTAAAAAATATATTTTTATTGATTTTTTACAGAGAGGAAGGGAGAGGGATAGAGAGTTAGAAACATCGATGAGAGAGAAACATCGATCAGCTGCCTCCTGCACACCTCCCACTGGGGATGTGCCCACAACCAAGGTCCATGCCCTTGACCGGAATCAAACCTGCAACCCTTCAGTCCACAGGCTGACGCTCTATCCACTGAGCCAAACCGGTCAGGGCTAGCTTTCATACTTTCTAAGGATTCTGATTAAAATGTCATTGAGCCCCGCTGGGTGGCTCAGTGGTTGAGCAGAAATCTATGAACCAGGAGGTCACGATTCAACTCCCGGTTAGAGCACATGCCCAGGTTGTGGGCTCAGTTCTCAATAGAGGGCGTGCAGGAAGCAGCTAATCAATGATTCTCTCTCATCATTGCTGTTTCTATCTCTCTCTCCCTCTCCCTTCCTACATGTGTCTTGACCACCCTGCCCTTGCCCACAGCATAACCCCGCCAGCCTGAGCCGCGGCTGGAGGAGGAACAGCACAAAGACACTCATCTCCAAGCTGCACCTGTCTATCAGGCCACAACCCGAGGCAGGGGCAGCTGGCGCCAACCACAGGCAGAACTGGCCACAACCCTCCCCCTCTCTCCGCCATCTACAGGAACTAGGTGACAATGCAAGAGAAAGGGGAGCACATGCCCCAGAGACAGGCACTCCCATGAGGAGCCATTCCTGGGACCCAGAATCCAAGTTACCCTCCCCCATCACCAGGTCCCTGCGATGAGCACTCAGCAGCCCACCCTCTGTCCACCTGCCTCAGCTCTACCCCAACCTGGTCTCTCAGGCCCCTCAGCAGGCTTGGTCAGGACTGGCCACCCAACCTCAAGCACAGGCAGGACTTTTACGAGCTGGCCAGCATCTCCTAAGAAAATAAACCAGCCCTAATGAGGGTTCCCCAGGAACAGGCTCCAAACAGCAACAAGGAAGGGAACGCGTGGTGAGCTTCCTGCTGGGGCAACACACACACAGAGGAGGGTATAAAAGCTGACAGCCCTGGGCACCTCACACACTCACACTCACACTCACACACCTACACCCTGCTCCCAGCTCACCTCCAGCCCCACTGCCCCACCATGGCCGCATCCGCCCTGTCTGTCTGCTCCAGCAACCTGAGCTATGGCAACCGCGCCTGCCTGCCTGGTTCTGGTGACTCTTGCACAGACTCCTCCTGGCAGGTGGACGACTGTCCAGAGAGCTGCTGTGAGCCCTCCTGCTGCGCCCCCAGCTGCTGCCAGCCCACCTGCTGTGTCCCCAGCTGCTGCCAGCCCACCTGCTGTGTCCCCAGCTGTTGTGCCCCAGCCCCCTGCCTGACCCTTGTCTGCACCCCAGTGAGCTGCGTGTCCAGCCCTTGCCAATCAGCCTGCACCAGCTCCTGCACACCCTCATGCTGCCAGCAGTCTAGCTGCCAGCCCTCCTGCTGCACCTCCTCCCCCTACCAGCCGGCCTGCTGTGTGCCCGCCTGCTGCACACCCGTCTGCTGCACACCTGTCTGCTGCACACCCGTCTGCTGCAAGCCCCTGTGCTGTGTGCCCGTCTGCTCTGGGGCCTCCTCCTGCTGCCAGCCCACCCCCTGCACCTCATCCTGCTGCAGACCCTCCTCCTGCGTGTCCCTCATCTGCCGCCCCGTGTGCAGGCCTGCCTGCTGTGTACCCGCCTCCTCCTGCTGTGGCCCCACCTCCTCCTGCCAGCCCAGCTGCTGCCGCCCGTCCTCCTGCATGTCCCTGCTCTGCCGCCCCGTGTGCTCCCGCCCGGCCTGCTGTGTCCTCACCTCGGCCCAGAAGTCCTGCTGCTGAGTGAGCACATCCCCCAGGCCCAGCCCCCACTCTCTCACAACTGCCTTCAGGATTTAACCCAGCACATGCACTGGGACGTGTCTCAGCATGAACGCTCGCTACCCTCAGACCCCAACAACCAGGCTGAGCCTGTCTCAGCCTCCACATCAGGCCCCCATGAAGCTGAGATGACGCTCCCCATCACTGGGGGTCCCAGGTTGTTTCTGACAGACATGGCTCCTGGCCTTTCTCCCATAGCCTTACTGAGGCCCCTGCCTGGTCTCGACCCCTGCACCCCAGCTGCTGTTTGCCCTCCTCTCTTCATACACGTGTCTCGAGCTGAGTGAATAAACTTGCTGTCCTGGCTACTGTTGTCCTCTCTCTGGGCCTAGCTGTGGGTTTTGTCCAGATTTCCAGATTAACAGAACCCTGGGTTCTGCATCTTTAGACACAAGGCACAGCTTGGGAGCTTTTCCAACAATGTTGTCTGAGGCCCACCCAGGGCGGTCCCCGGCCCGCACTCCTGTGTCTGCACCTCTGGGCAGCTCTGGGTGGCTGTGCTGCATGTCTGGGATTCAAATGGCCAGCAGCCCCCTGGACAGCAGGCCCTTGGCGGGAGGACCCTGTTGTCCCAGGCCCTGTTGGTCCCTCCTGATCAGGGTGAGGACCCCAGGGTGCAGGGCCTAAGCTGGCTTCTGGGCCAGGAGGCTGTGGGACCAGGACATTCTTGGGCCAGAGCTGACACAGAGGGTTTCTACACTCAACCAAATGTCTGCGTCTGTCCCTCCATCTCCCCTTGAACATCCTCATTTCATTCAAATGTCCCAAACCTACCTGACTGTGCCTGCACAGGCCAATGACAACATCCTTCCCCCGGCCCCAGGTCCAGTGGGTGTGGCAGTAGCCACGGGGACCCTTGCCCTAGGTCCAGCCTGAGTGTGGCAGAAGTCAGAGGGGAAAGACAGAGGGGAGGCGATTCAAAGGCTCACACTCTGGGGTCCAGGCCTGCTGCCTTTGGAGGGTTTTCCTTCCTTGCCTGTCTGGTTGGGGGTCCCACATTTCCCAAACTTCCCAAGCCCAGCCCTCACTCCTGGACAGAGCAATTTCCTAACTGAGGTCCTCCTGCCTCCATACTCCAGCCAATGCCACCTCCTCACTCTTGACCCTCCCCTGCTATTGACATGACACCCTGTCCCACCGAGGAGGCCAAGAAACCCAGCAAAGCACTCTTCAAAGGCGGGTCAACGTGAGCGCCCCCACCCTCAGAGCAGGTTTAAGAGATCATCTGACCCTCACATACTCTCCCCTGGAGAACCTGGTCCAGACCCCCTGCTCTGGACTGGCTTTTCCAGAGTCACCCACACAAAGTGGGGGTCCTCAGGGAACCTGCCAGTGGAACGAGACTCAGATGGCATGGATTCATGCAGACCAGTGCCCACCGTCCTTCCTCCTACATTCTGAGGCCGCTTTCCCTGGGGGACCTTGCCCTGCCCACCCCCACCACTCTCCTGGGGGAATCCTGGCCCTTCCCCCTGGGAGCCTACTATGAAAGGGCTGGTAAGAAATCAATTTCCCCAGATGTCATGGGCCCAGAAAATTCCCTGGACTTCTGTCCACTGTAGCCTTTAGCAGCCTCCCTCTGGACAACTTCATCTGCAACCCCTCCCCCCACCAGAGACCGTGAACTGGGGACTCAACCTCCTGTGGGCCTGGACCTCTCTGGGCACTGGAAATCCATAAGACACTTCTTGGAAACAGGTATCCTATATAATAAAAGCCTAATATGCTAAGTGTCTGACCGTTTATCTGACTGTCCGTTCAACTGTTCGACCAGTTGCTATGATGTGTACTGACCACCAGGGGGCAGACTCTCTGACCGGTAGGTTAGCTTGCTGCTGGAGTCCAGCCGAATGGGACTGAGCGTGTAGGCCAGACATGCCCTGGAGCCCTCCCGAAGTCCCTCCCCGGCCCCGATCGTGCACCCTCTCACAATCTGGGAACCCTCGGGGGGATGTCAGAGAGCCGGTTTCAGCCAGATCCCTGCAGGCCAGGCTGAGGGACACCCCTGGTGCATGAATCCGTGCACAAGGCCTCTAATCTATAATAATAAAAGTGTAATATGCTAATTAGACTGGACGTCCTTCCAGATGACCTTCCAGATGAAGCCAGGGCTGCGAAGGAAGCCTGGGTCCTGGGTGCCAGAGGGAAGCGGTGCCGGCAGCCGGGGGAAGGAAGGCCTACTCTTGCATGGATTTGTTCATAGGGCCTCTAGCCTAAATATAATACTCTAGATTTCAAGGGGAGACAATTGTTTGAAAATATAGTTACCAAAATATTTTGTTGTTGTTAATCCTCACCCAAGGATATTTTTCCATTGATTTTTAGAGAGAGAGAGTGGGAGGGAAAGGGGAGAGACAGAGAGAGACATGATGTGAGAGAGACACACCAATTGGTTGCCTCCCAGACACATCCCGGCCAGGACCTGCGCTCCAGCCTGTAATGAAGTAAGTACATGCCTGCCCTTGACGGGAATCAAACCCGGCTGCATCGGTACCCAGGGCCGTCCACGCTCTCTCCACCGAGTCCACTAGGACCCAAAATATCTTAAAACAAGTATGTAGTGAGGTGGCCTCTTCATTAAGGTATTAGCCAACAAGAGGAAGGCGGCCTCATGAGGATGGGGGGCAGATGTCCCCCCAAATCTACCACAGGATGCGGGTGACAGTCCCAGGTGCCGCCAGCACCGCGCACACCCGCACATCCCTGCAGGGCTGCTGCTGGGTTGGAGTCGTGACGACAAAGGTGCAGTAGCTCCCACCCAAGTTCACGGCCCTGAATTCCATGCCCCACCCGGCGCCCGGCGCCCCCAGCGCAGTTAGAGTCCGGGAAGCCGCCCTGACAACAGGCAGAAACAGTGGCCAGAGAAGCCGCCGCCTGGGCACTGTTCTGCTCCGCCCTGCGGACGCCGGCCGCGGCCTGTCCACGCCCCCCCCCCACTGGTGACCCTGGAGTGCCCCCCAGCCCCGAGCCGACACGCAGACTCCCAGGGAAGGTGATGCCCGGCGCAGGGGTTCCCCGAGCGCCCGCCCGCCGGTCAGCGTTTCCACCGGCTGCTCAGTTTCCACCGGCAGCTCACTCCCGCGCCAGGGGGCGCTGTGGAGCTGCAGCCGAGCCGGGGAGGCCCCTCACCCCCCAACGTCAGGGTCAGGGCGCCGTTCCAGCCGCGGGAGGAAGAGCGTGAAACGAATTTCATCTCCTGGGTGGATATGCTCCGGGTTTTTCTCCGCGGCGCGCGTGCACATTCACACGCACATTCACACGCACATTCACACGCACATTCACACGCACATTCACACGCACGTTCACACGCACACACCGCCTGCCCCTCTGAGTAGCACGACACCCTCCCGTCCCCCGTGCTCCCCTCGGACCCAGCCCTGCCCGCAGACCCGACCGCGGGCCACTCCACCCCACCCTCCCCCGCCCCAGGGGCAGCTCCCGCCTCCAGGTCGCCCCGCCTCCCCCTCCCGTCCCCAGCGACCCACGCGGCAGCGGAGGGGGCTCCGGGGCTGCACGCCGACCCTGGAGTCACCTGGGCAGCGAGGTCGGCACCCCCCGCCCACCACCACCACCACCAATGGCAGGTAAGTACGCCTGGCATTGCCTGAGATGCTCCTTAGGTTGGATTCTTCCGAGGACACCCCCCCAACCCCCCCCTCCCTTCCGCGCAAGTTTCTCCACCGCAGGGCAAAGGCTAACAGAGTCGCCGGGAGGGAAGGGAGGGGCTCTAACGGCCAGAGCCCGCATTCGGGGTGCTCCTGCAGTCGGAGATGCAGGGTTGGGGTGCGGAGGGTGACGGCCAAGCATCCTGTCCCGTCTTCCTACCCGCCCCCCGCCCCCCACCCCAGACTTGAATGAGAAGGGTAGGGGGCGCCTCCTGCCCCAACACGGAGTTCTCTAAGCCCGGGGCTCAGAATCCACCTAAGAGGATGGGGCGCGGGAGGGGGTGCAGAGGGGACGGGAAATGGGGTGGTCCATCAGGAAACCGCCCAGACCCGAAGCATGCGCCTTTACTGTGGAAAAAGACCGTGGGGAAATCCATGATTTACTTTTAAAGATCGAAACCACAGAGTCAGCGGTTCTGATCTTCACGAGGTTCCATTAGAAAAAATGAATATTCTTTGTTTTCTGATTTCTGTGTAGACAAAAAAAAATTAAAAAATACCCCTGTCCTAACAGCTGAGAATTTTAAAAGGAAAACAGGTGTCAGGGTGACGGAGTGCCCTGGTGTAAGGCGAGGCCTCCTCTGTGCTGGGGGGAGAAGGGGATGGGTGTCCCTCAGACTTGTGTTTGGCGAGACAAGGGCGAGGGGTGTGCTGGGGCCTCCTCCGAGTGCAGGTCGCGGATGGGGCAGGGGTTGTCCTACATTTAATGTCACGTATGAACTTTTGCTGAAAGCGACATACATGAAAAGCGTCAGGGCTACAGGTGTTGGGACTGGCTTGTCCCTAGTTGCCAACCACTCCGGGGCCCAGTGGAACGGTCAGCCTCCTCCTCCTCCACGGCCTCCGGCCTCCGGGACCTCCAGTGGGGCCTGGGGCTGCTGCTCAGATTCCCAGGGGCCGGCGGGCACCGCACAAAGGACAGCGGACCAGGAGAGAGAAGCAACGGGTTCCTTAACTGCAAAAGGCTAAAAGGCTTGACTCTGTGGATGTGAGCCACCAGCAGGGGGCATCTCCCAGGACCGGGTTTCAGGGGCCTCTCAGCAACCGGCCAGAACTCACACCTGGAGTCACCCACTGAAGCACCACCCACCCCACAGAGCTCCTGGTAAAGGAGTCCAAGGACAAAGAACCTGAAAGGATTCGGCTTACTGCCCCAGCTGCAAAGGGGCCAAATGCCCACTGCCTCCCAGCCAGCTGGCTTTCCAATGCAAATCTGTCCCCAGCGTTTCCTGGTATTTCTCCATCTCCAAGGATGCAGGGCACACCAGGTCTGACCACTCTACCCGCTCCTGCATT